TCTATGCAGTACAGTGTTTCGTAATCACAAGAACTCCTTTGTTTTTTATTTTTCGGTAAAAGCTGGAACTAATCGGAATACTGTTTTGAATAGCCCGAAGATTTTTCTATCAAATGAGGTGTACATCACCGTTTCCTGAGAAAAGCTGATAATAGGGGAAATCGGACGATAAAACTGCGGAAAAATGTAAATCGCTTTTGTTGAACTGGTGGCGAAAAACGAACAGTAATTTTTGTTTGCAAACCATCTACCTAATTTACTACATGTATTATCCAAACATTTTCCAAAATCCATGTTCCTTTGAAGTATTTTGATCTCTAATAGGTACTCTGACTAGTTTTTGAAACTCTAAAACCATGTACTAGATGCAAAATTGAATTGTCTATCGAATGAACGCCAAGTTATAGTCTTGAAAGCTGAATAACAATAACAATACATAAACAGGCATTTTGCATGTTGTGTAATGTATCATACATAACACTAATTTAATTTCTATATGTTATTATATAGTTGTTCTCCTTTACATGTCAGTTTTTCATATGCATGTTGCTTCATTTGTGACAACATGCGTATAAATAGTTGAAATAAATAGTGTATCATGATAATAAGTCTATTTTAGTTTCTTTTAACTTTCACTTGTTTAAAGTTTATTCTTTCTACAGCGTCACTCGAATTTCGTAATAATGCTCGATTTATAAGAACTAAATCAGCTAAAGGAACTACATTTTATATCGGTGATTATGTATATAGTACTCCTACTCAGCCATCAAACAAATCCGGTCGGCAGACACCGCAACATATCCGCTTCAAAGACTATTCGTTTTGGGTGACAGCAAAACATTTAGGACTGGATACAGCAACAAATAAGTATGCCAAGATTTATCTAAATCGTGCAGAATTTCTTCGGGCCAAATGTGTTCATGCCTCCAACAAGTCTGATTTGGCTCTATTGATAACACCTACAACATTTACAAATGTGATGCAGAAAGCTGAATTTATCGAAAAACTATCGCCGCTACGAACACGTGCACACATGTACGGCTTTGGTACACATTATCATCTAGATCTTTTTGATCCTGCTGTAGTACACGCAGTGATATCCTGCGAATACTATTGTTTACCAAAGCGGTCACCAAAAGGCGCATCGACAAAACGGTTTTTTATAGTAGACAGGATGGTTGATTTTGGTTTTTCAGGAGGTCCGGTATTGACTACAGACGGTAAAGTTCTCGGTATGCTGTCTATGTCTGCCTACAGCCGCGATTCTTGGGCATTGCGTGCTAAGTACATTTTGAAAGCAATTAAAGAACTTGGAATACATCCAGTATCATCCAAAAAATAGTATTCATAATGCATTGTGCTGAGTCACTGTGATATCAAAGAATTT